AAGCGGAGGTTGCAGTGGGCCGAGATCCGCCCATTGCACCCAGCCTGGGCACAAGAGGAAAGTTCCTTCTCAGTAAAAAAAAAAAAGAAAGCGTGAAGGTTGTTACGTTCCTTCCACTCTCATGTCCAAGATGGTAACTTAGAAAATTATGTTGTAATTTGTAAAGGACTTACAAATTGTTATGAAACATCTTTCTCTGAGTCAATTATGGAGGGACACAGGTCCCAAGGAAATGTGGCACAGTTTTATGGGTCAGTAAATTTCCTTAGTTCTGTTAGATCAACAGTCATTGACTTAATTTATCCCAGGACCCATGGCCCACACAACTATGGAAGCAGGGTCTTGCTAGATGTAAAGCCAACTTCTAAAACATTTAGACATTAACAAAAAAATAAAAAAAGTCTTCCTTGTAAATCCTTGTTATTCTTTTTCCCCATATCCTCTATGGTTTCCCTAAGCAGAATGAAATATCCTCGCTTGGGGGCAGGGCAAAGGTTAATAAGTAAAAGGATAGATGATATAAAGGCAGTGAACGGCTGGGGTAGAGTTCGTCATACCTCTACTTCCTTACAGTCGTGCCATTCACTTCTTATTTTGTCCCCTTTTTATTGCCAATTGGGCTGGAAGTAACAAAGGTTGGTAACTCCTTAAACTCTCCTTCTCCTTCACTTCTCCTCCACCCGCCCAGACCCTGCTCCGGCATGTAAATACTATTCTGGGGAAAGAGAATCAAGTTGCCACTCAGCAGCATGAAATGGGGCAAGGTGTGTGTCCTAGTAACTTTAACCCAGCACACCATGTGGTTTTTTAGGATCTAGTAAAAGCGCAGTGTGTGTTGTTTGACCAGCAGACTGGCTGTCTGGCTATTGGTTGTGTTGATGTGTGGTGGTTGTGTAAACATCCTATCTCTAACTAGCCTTTTAATTACTTATGTTGTGTAAGTAATATAAAAGCAGCATACATTGAGATATTAGTCAATGAAAGTAATCGTGTAATTGGTATGTGGGAGGTTAGGAAAGAAGTAAGCTAAGGTAGGCTGAGGAAGAAGGTTGTGAGAACAAACTGGTGACAGTACAGTGTTAGATCATGCGGTAGGGGTAATGGTGTGTTGTGGTGTATGGTTGTAGAAAAGTTCATTAATTAAACCCATTCCAATCCACTGGCTCTGTTCTTTTGTTGACTCATGATAATCCAGAACAGCTATGGCTAAGGTCCTAAAGAAGCAATCTTAATATAATACCTTCAATTCATAGAGGAAGAAACTAAAGATCCAGGGAGGGAAAAGCTCTGCCCTTAGATTTCTGTATTGATTTTTTGTGTACATGGCCAGTTGAGACTGGGAGAAGCTGCCCTTGAAGTGGAAAATGGTGCAAAGAAATGATGGCCCTTGAGGCCGACTCTGGCGATCACGTCCCTGTGAGAGAGGTACGACGGTCATCTTCTGAAGCTGTGCTCACTGAGGCAAAGTCGGGGTAAACACACCAAATTTGCCAGCAAAACAAGAAGAGACATTGGAGTCTTACAATACTAACAGGCATGTTCCATGACCGACAGAAAGAGAAGAAAATTGTTGATTCTATATCACGCATTTGAGAAATGTAGAGGCACATACTACAATTTTAATAGTTCAACAAGTTTTAAAATGGAAATTCCTTTTTTTTTTTTTTTTTGAGACAGGGTCTCATTCTATAGCCCAGGCTGGAGTGCACTGGCGTGATCCCAGCTCACTGCAACCTCTGCTTCCCAGACTCAGGTGATCCTCCCACCTCAGCTTCCCAAGTAGCTCGGACTATAGGTGTACACCACCACATCTGGATATTTGTCGTATTTTTTGTAGAGACAGGGTTTCACTATGTTGTCCAGGCTGGTCTTGAACGCCTAGGTTCATGCCATCTGCCTGCCCCGGCCTACCAAAGTTCTGGGATAACAAGCCTGAGCCACTGTGCCCAGTCAAACATTCTTGAAAGATGACTTCTGAATGTACCAACTAGAGTAAAATCTGTGGTATTTATATTTTCATACTTGCCTCCTAGTGTATTTCTCCAAGCCCCTGAAGTGCTGGTCTTACCAGGATGCTCCCTATCCTCTAAGAATGTTTCTGGCTGCCCCTTCTGCTTTGAAAGCTTGTATCTTCAGGGCCAGATCTGATGCCATCTTTGGATCAAAGACTCTTCTGATGCCCTAGCAGGAATGCCCAGGTCCCAGAAGGGCACTTAGTCTGCAACTTTTTTTGTCTCAAATTCTCTCATCTTAACACGTAAAGCATGATCTCATCCCTCATCCCGGTTTCAGCTCCATAAGGCACTAGTATGCTCTTTTGTACGGAATAGGTATTTAGTCAGTGAAATGTTACAGAAGGAATGAATCTGTCCTGATATTTTCTGTTATACAAAGTACCTACCTTTATAGTTTAGTCGAGCAGAATATGGTTTAAGAGATAAATACCTGACTTGGTCTAAGGCAGAAATTTGAGAGCTAATTTTAGTCAAGAGCACTCTTCTTTTTAATCAAATCTCACACAGAAGAGTAAACCAAATAGCATATAAAAGCTGAACTACTATGGTTGAAGGGGTAGGGGATGGAAGTAGAAATGGGGTAGCAGAGTGAGCTTGTGGGGAGGGAACAGATCCTCAAAAGTGGTGTTTTCTCACAATTGTTTGAAATCATATATTGACACGAACAGCTGTTGGGGCTACAAGCAAAAGATGGTTAAGGAAGCAGTGGAGTCTAAGATTTTTAGGGAAGGTGGTCAAAGTACTTTTTAATGTACTTTTTTCCCAAAAGGAAAGGGGGTCAAAGTACTTTTTAATGTACTTTTTCCCCAAACTTGTAACAGTGTAGTGCCTGTACCTGCTTGCTTTCCATGATGTCAAAATCTGAGTTTCACTTCTGGTGAAGTGAGGGTAGGGTGGGGTATGCCTGAGGAAAGGGTTGGGGGAAGATTACTTGTGTTCTTTCCTGTGAAGGGTAAGGGATCTGGAGTCAACTAGACCTGGAGCAGAATCCAGCTTTGGTCATTTACTAGCTGGGTGACCTCTTTAAGCATCAGTTTCCTCATCTATGCAGTAAGGGTAATACAGGTATTATTGCCTATATCAAAGTGTAACTTGGAGGATTTAATGAGATAATATAAGGCAAGACTTAGCTTTGTGTTTAGCACATGATTAGAATTCAATAAATATTAATTATTATTAGCCATTAGCCCCTTCTTGAAAAGACTTCTAAAGACTTCCTTAGAAGTCCTAGTGCTCTGTATAGTTTGAAAAATACTGCCCTGGAGTATCTGATATGCAGACCTTACTCTTTGGTCAGAATCTATCCAATATTCTTCCTACAGAGTAAAAATAACTAATCTCATATTAAAAACAAAACAGAGCTTAAGACTCACTTTTTCTTTTTCCTCCAACAATACAAGACTTCTGGAGGTCTATACAGTGCATTTCCATACAGTTTTCTAAGAGTCCACTTTGTCCACATGAACAGATTTTATAACAACCAACTTCCCCTGCAGATGATGGCACCTGGATTAGTGTCCCTTGACGGACAATGAAATCAGAAGCTTCTCCCAGTTTGCAACCTGTACAAACAAAAATTAGCTGAGAGAGATGGTACTGTTTTATGACATTGTTTTATAACATTAGATATACACTTGACAAAAGTCTTATAGGTACTAAATCACTATTAAAGATTATGTAATAGAACTTTCATCAAATTAAGGAACTGCTTTGGTTCATTGTCCAAAAGCATACCTCTCAAATGAAAATTCCATATTCTGGAGGATGGTGGTGATTACAGATCTGTACCCCAAAGTTACCTATCATTCAGAATAAAAGTGCTGTAAGATATGTAACTTTTTACTTTTGGGGGTTAGTAAAAAATATTTTAAAATCACAGATATTTTAAAAAATGGAATAGGGTAAAAAAAATGAATGAAACGTATTGATTTATGCTAAATTTTACATTTCACAAATGATACAGAATTCTCGGTGTGTTTTTTGTTTTGTTTTGTTTTGTTTGTGTTTTTTGTTTTTTTCTTTTGAGGTGCAGTCTCGACTCTATTT